ATTTTTCTTAATAGTTTTATCACACAAATGGGTATCCCTGAATAGTCTACTTTAGTTTTGCCTTTTAACATACATGAATTTTTAACCCTCTTTTCATCTCATGTCCTCCTTCCATTCTTTTTTCTCTTTGCAATTATTTTTTCAAGAAATTGCAAAGTCTCAGGACACAAAATGCACACAAATCAGTATCTTTCATATACACCAGTAACAATCAAGCCAAGAATCAAATCAAAGACACAATACCTTTAACAACAGTATCAAAGAAAATAAAATATTTATGAATATATTTAACTAAGGAGGTGAGAGACCTATATAGTAGGGAGAACTACAAAACACTGAGAAAAGAAATTGTAGAGGATGTAAACAGATGGAAAACCATACTATGCTCATGGATCGGCAGAATCAACATTGTTAAAATGTCTTACTACCCAAAGTGGTCTACAGATTCAATGCAATCCCTATTAAAATACCAACATCACTTTTGCCGATCTAGAAAAAATAATTCTATGCTTTGTATGGAACCAGAGAAGACCCCATATAGCCGAAGCAACCTTAAAAGAAAAGAACAAATTAGGAGATATCAATCTACCAGACTTCAAACTATACTACAAGGCATAGAGAGGCTTCTGGGGTGGCTGGAAAAGCCCTGTTTTTTGACCTGAGTCGCAGTTACAAGGCAATAGTAACCAAAACAGCATGGTACTTGCACAAGAACAGAGACATTCACCAATGGAGCAGGACTGAAACTCCAGATAGAAAACCATCCTCATATTGTCATCTGATCTTTGACAAAGCAGAGAAAAACATATACTGGGGAAAATAATTCCTATTCAATAAATGGTGCTGGGAAAATTGGATAGCCACATGTAGAAGAAGATTGAAACAGGATCCACACCTCTCACCTCTCACAAAAATCAACTCATAATGGATAACAGACTTAAACCTAAGGCATGAAACCATAATAATTTTAGAAGAAAATGTTGGAAAAACTCTTATAGACATTGGCCTAAGCAAAGAATTTATGAAGATGACCCCAAAACATTCACAGCAACAACACAAATAAATAAATGGGACCTGATCAAATTAAAAATCTTCCACACAGCCAAAGGAAACTATCACTAGAGTGAACAGATAGCCTACAGAATGGGAGAAAATATTCTCATGCTACACATCCAATAAAGGGCTAATAACTAGAATCTGTATAGAACTCAGGAAAATTAACAAGAAAAAAATCAAACAACCCCATTAAAAAGTGGGCAAAGGACATGAGCAGAAACTTTTCAAAAGATGACAGACTAGTGGCCAACAAATAAATGAAAAATTGCTCAGCATCTCTAACCATCAGGGGAAATGCAAATCAAAACCACAATGAGATATCACTTAACTCCAGTAAGAATGGCTTTTGTCAAAAAGTCCCAAAACAACAAATGTTGGCATGGATGCAGAGAGATAGGAACGCTCATACACTGCTGGTGGGACCGCAAAGTAGTACAACCTCTATGGAAAGTAATATGAAGATATCTCAAAGAACTAAAAGTAGAACTACCATTTGATCCAGCAATCCCACTACTGGGTATTTACCCAAAGGAAAGAAAGACATTCTATAATAAAGACATCTGCACTAGAATGTTTATAGCAGCACAATCCACAATTGCAAAGATGTGGAAACAACCCAAGTGCCCATCAGTACATGAGTGGATTAATAAAATGTGGTATATGTACCATGGAGTTCTACTCAGCCACAAAAAGCAATGGTGATCCAGCACCTCTTGTATTATTCTGGATGGAGCTGGAGCCCATTCTTCAAAGTGAAGTATCACAAGAGTGGAAAAACAAGCACCACACGTACTCACCATTAAATTGGCACTAACTGATCAACACTTACATGCACGTATGGAAGTAACATTCATCAGGTGTCGGGCAGGTGGGAGGGGTGTTGGGGGATGGGTAAATTCACACCTAATGGGTGCGGTGCATGCTTTCTGGGGGATGGGCACGCTTGTAGCTCTGGCTTGGGTGGTGCAAAGGCAACATATGTAACCAAAGTGTTTGTACCCATGTAATATTCTGAAATGAAATTAAAAAAAATTGCATTGTTTGATCTATAGGGTATCTCCACCTGGATTTTGCTGATTGCTTTAGATGTGTAGGACTTGACCGTTTTGAACAAGTGTGGCTGTTTCATGCCTCAGTCCTGGAATGACATTCTACCTGGGATATCATTACCCCTTGTCTCTCCCTAGCTAATACATTGTTCATGTGATTATCCCCTACTAATCCTTCAGAACTTAGCTCAAAGCTCATCCCTCCTAGAAATATTTCCTGACTTTTCATCTCATAATAAATATGTCCTTTTCTGTAGTCTCCTAGCACCTGTGTAAAACTTCAGTATGACACCAATCGCATTGCTGCTTCTTTGTCTTGTTAAAAAATACATATTAAGAGGTTTGTTGCAAGGAATTGGCTTTTACCATAGTGGGGGTTGGATAGGCAAGTCTGAAATCCGTAGGCAGGCTGTCAGAATGGGCAGGCCGGAATTCTTGGGCAGAGGCTGAAGCAGCTGTCCAGAAGGAAGAATTACTTCTGGGAAGCCTTAGCTCTGCTCGCGAGGCCTTTCAACTGATTGAATCAGGTCTGTGAGATTATCAAGAATAGTCTTTACTTAAAGTCAACTGATTATGAATTTTAATCACATCTATAAAATACCTTTACAGCAACACTCAGATTTGTGTTTAATTGAATTACTGGGACTAGCCAAGTTAACACATAAAATATTGATCATCACATGGCATCTTTTGTTTTTCTCTCTGAACTTATGCTTAATTGTTTTTATTTTTCTTTTTCCTACTTTTGGCCTCTGAAAGTTTCCTCTCTTTTTTCATGCTTTGACATTGTTAGGAGCTTAATACTGGGAGAATTTTTCAGAATATCTAATCCATCATATTACCCATGTCTTTCTTTTCCATGAGGCGCTTTCATCCAACAAACATTCATTAGATACTGCTGCGTGCCGGGTACTGTGCTACAGCTAGGGATACAGAGATGGAGAAGTTATAGTTCTCTGCGGTCCAGAAGCTCACAGTCAGTGGGGGGGACAGAATGTGCCATAAAACTGCTCTGAGGCCATGCACGCTCGCTCATGCCTGTAATCCTAGCACTTTGGGAGGCCAAGGTGAGAAGATCGCTTGAGGCCAGGAGTTCAAGACCAGCCTAAGCAAGAGTGAGACCCCATCTCTACAAAAAATAGAAAGATTAGCTAGGTGTGGCAGCACGTGCCTGTAGTCCCAGCTACGTGGGAAGCTGAGGGAGGAGGATCGCTTGCGCCCAAAAGTTTGAGGTTGCTGTGAGCTATGATGACCCCCACTGCACTCTAGCTCCAGGGACAGAGCAAAAAAGACCTTGCCTCAAAAACAAACAATAAAAACAAAAACAAAAGAACCCCAAAAACTGCTTTGAGCGGAGGAAGCAAGATAATATGAGAGCTTCCTTTCATATGAATAGGTGCTTAGTATACAACAAAAGAATGTTTTTATACTACAAAAAATGTTCTATTTTACAGTCATTTATTAATTACTTTGTAGGTGGCAAGCTTCATATTTTTTTCATGGAGAAAATATCTTGCTTTTTTTTTCCTGCTTTTTCGATAGCTATGGCAGAAAATGTTCAGGCGTATAATAAAAAAAGCTGATTTTTGATACTAATTGCGGTATTAAGTGTTTTTATATAATGTGAAAACCAGGGCTTTAACATTTATCTAAGTATAAAAATATAAAGTAGTATTTTATTATTTCCAGACACCAGGCTGAAGATGACATCTCTAGTTAGGCATAGAAGGGAATTGATCATTTTTGTGGTGCAGAATTGTTGATCGGTCGTCCTCCATTTTTCAGAACAAATTTTTTTTTTTTTTTTTTTTTTGAGACAGAGTCTCACTCTTTTGCCCGGGCTAGAGTGAGTGCCATGGCGTTGGCCTAGCTCACAGCAATCTCAAACTCCTGGGCTCAAGCGATCCTCCTGCCTCAGCCTCCCGAGTAGCTGGGACTACAGGCATGTGCCACCATGCCCGGCTAATTTTTTCTATATATTTTTAGTTGTCTGATTAATTTCTTTCTATTTTTAGTAGAGACAGGGTCTCGCTCTTGCTCAGGCTGGTCTCGAACTCCTGAGCTCAAACAATCCACCCGCCTTGGCCTCCCAGAGTGCTAGGATTACAGGCGTGAGCCACCGCGCCCAGCCTCAGAACAAATTTTTGCTAGGTTGTCTGTTTTATTTCCTGAAAAGTGTAGAAAATTTTAGTCTGTACTCTTTATGTGGAAATGTAATATAATTCCTTTCATTTCCAATCTTAAAAGTACTTAATGTTTAAAACTACTCCTTTAAGAAGACCCTCCCCTAACCCCAGCAAATGAAATGTATCTTTAGTTTACGCCTTTGCTGTGCCATAGGATCCAATGGCTTTGTTTATTAAGAGTCTTGTAGATCTCAAGTATAATTATTTTATTGTATCTTTCCTCACTGTAAAGTCAATCCAACATGGAACAGTGACAACAAAAAAGCTTACTTGAGTGTAACCAGATTTAATTTCACTGGACTGAACTGTCTGGCCTTCCAGTATCCTTGAGTACTGGCTGAGATTTCACATTGTATAGAACCAGCAAAGTGTCTCAAGGACTCTATCTGAAACATTAACAGTTTTTAAACCCTTCAATACCTTGCTACCCCAGCTTAACTTTACCCTTTTCTGCTCACTCTGTGACACAGGAGTGACAAGGGAGTCCCGAGGCACTGATGCGCTAGCAGGTCTGCATCTCACCCTCTCTAATACCACTTAGTTGACATCTGCCCCGTATTCCCTGCACCACCACCCCCCCCCAAGCTCACCAATTTTCAAGTGCATTAGTTGCTGCTCAGGTGTCTTTCGTCTTTATATTGTGCAATTGTTGTGGAGCTTGCTCTTTTCTCTGTGGTGCTACAAAGGTAATTTTTCCCATTACTTACAGTCAAACTGCAACTGCAAGCAGAAGAGAGAGGGGTTGTGTCTATCAAAGGAGTGTGTGCGAACCGTTACCTTGCTATGAAGGAAGATGGAAGATTACTGGCTTCTGTAAGTAATGCTTTCTGTTTTTGCGGTTTTTTTTTTTTTTTTTTAAACACAGCTCATATTAAGTAGAGACTGGATTGGACTTGGGGCAGTCTTGATTCGGACCATGAGCTCTATATCACTGCTTTTGCTCTGCAAAGCCATTAAACTGTAATTCAGAATTTTTTCCTTAAACCGTGCAATCAAACATGAAGATCAGTGGGAATGGACACATAAAATTTTGATTATCTGTTTTCAGATTTATTCTGTAGAATGTGATATATGAAACATTTGCCGTATAGAATACTAGTTGAGAATGTGGGCTTTTGACCTGGGTACGAATGCTGACTCTGCCACTTACTAGCTGTGTGTTCTTGGGCAAATTATTCTGAGTTAGTTCCCTCACTTGTAAAATAGAAATAGTAATGATCCAATATCACTGAGGTTTTAATTCAATACTATATATCAAGTGCTTACATTAGTTTCTGACACATAACAGATCCTCAATATTGTTACTTCCTCCTCATGCTATTCTTATGTATCAATCAGGACAGGAACTTTTCTTTTTTGTTTTATTACAGCTAGTCAAGGGGCCTAGCTCCAGGCTAGTATCCTTCCCACTAGTGCAGGCTCCCTGTCAACTTCACCATTATTATCAGAAATAGGATTGCATACCTGTTGAGCATTCACAGTGTGTGGGGAATGGTGCAGGAAACTAAGGAAGTAGGGCCAGGTGTGGTGGCTCACACCTGTAATCCTAGCACTTTCGGAGGCTGAGGCGAGAGGATCGCGTGAGGCCAGGAATTTAAGATTGCAGTGAGCTATGATGATGCCACTGCACTCTAGCCCAAGCAACAGAGCGAGATCCTGTCTCAAAAAAAAAAAAAAAAAGAAGAAACCGTAGAAGACACAGATCTTATTCCTTTCTGCTTGGGGGAGTAGATAGGACATGTATGTAGAAGTGTGTGTGTGTGTGTGTGTGTGTGTGTGTGTGTGTGTGTTGTGTGTCTACCAATGCCAATGGCCAGTTGTAACCTCTCTATAACTTCCCCCACAGAAGTGTTCTAATAGTGTCAAGCAATTGTGGTGTTTTGAGCTGTACAAATAGTTTTTGAAATTTTTTTCTGAATGAAGACCTATGAATTTTTAAAGATGATGAAACAGATTTATAGAGAAAAAGGATATTTTAACCATCCCAATTTCAGATTGATTATCTGACAAAGATACACTCATGTTGATATTATCAATTTATGTGATATTTGCAGGATAAATATCAATAACAAATTTGGGTGTAGCGGCTCTTAATTTTGAGAGGGTTAATTGGATTAATTTTAGAGTCCTCTTCAAGAATAGCCAATACTTATTGATTGTATAGTGTGCCAGATGCTGTGCTAGGCATCAGGCTTATAAAACTGAATATTACATGGTCTATATACCCTTAATGAGTCACAATCCAGGGGTGGCAGAAATGTAAATAAGTATTTGTAATAATGTGTAAGGCTTTTGATGTTTTGCTTCTATATTTAGCATACATGCATAGTAATAGAGGAAAGGATAATAAATATTATGATAAAGGAAGTAATATATGAAAGGAAGTGGCAAAATTTGTCTAGAATTGGGGAGGATGACCTATAAGTAGAATTTTAGGTGATGTAGAGGAAGGAGTTCAGCAGGCAGTCAGGGAGCAAGAGTAGACAGGAGGGTGTGGATAACTCTGGGACATACCACATGCAAAGGCACGGATGCAAAAAGCTCTGTGGGGTATCTCTAGCATTACAAGTAATTCACTCACACTGGAGTGTAAAGTGCAAAGGAAAAGAAAGGTGGAAGAGAAGAGAGAGAAGGCTGGAGAGGTAGGTAGGCTTTCTGTGGAAGGGCCTTACACACCATGCTGACTGTATGCGGTGGAGAGCCGTGAAGAGTTTTAAGCAGAGACCTGATCAGATTTGAATTTGAGAAAGATCACTGTGGCAGCAGTGTAAAGAATGCATTTGAGGGGGCCGACACTGATGGAGAGAGACCAGTTTAGAGGGCCCCTGTCATGGTCCAGGCGAGTGGTGATCAGACCTGGCAATAACAGTGGGACAAAGAGGATAGAGTCAAGTGCTAGCACTTGTGATTGATTTGATTTAGGAGTGAAGTAGAGAGAAAAGTCAAAGATAGCTTTTAGGTTTCGGCTTGGATGAAAAGGTAGATGAGAAATGGGAAGGAGGAAAAGAGAAAGATTTGGGAAAAGGTAGGTAGTAAGTTCAAAGTTATACCTATTTAGTTTGAGTTACCTATGGGAAATTCAGGTGAAGATGTTCACTAAGTAGTTGGAATTATAAATCTGGAGCTCAGAGGAGAGATCTGCATTGATATATAGATGTGAGTATCATCAGCTTATAGGTGGTACTTAAATGAGGAGAATGGATGAGGTTTCCTAGGCAAAAAATATAGCTCTAAAAGATGGACAATTTGTGACTTTTGCTTCTTCCCCTCTGTCCTTGTCTTTTTTTTTATACCAATCTCTTGTCAACACAAGAGGTGATATAATACTTTCGTAATCTACCAAAGTAGCATTTTAAATATTTCCCAGGACAGTGAATCAATAAGTAAGTTTGGATGACTTTATATTATAGAAGAGAGAGAAAGAAGTGTTTGCAATTCCCCTACCCTTTTCACCTTAGGATGAAATCACTATACAAATCACTATGGCTTCTGTAGTAGTGTTAGTTTGGCTACTGTCAGACAGTGAGAGTGGTAGAGAAAAGAAAGGAGATGTGTACATTTGCTTCTGTCAGAACTAACTATGGACAACACTAACCAAATGGTTATAAAGCACCAGCCTTTTATATGTCTGTCTTAATCTGCCTCAGTGAGTGCCTTGAGATTAGTTATTACCCTGGTCTTACACTTGTTAAGATTAGAAGTTCCAGTAACCTAGTAATCATGGTGACCCTGTAAGATAGTCACTGGAGGGGCTATTCATCTCAAGAGCATAGGCTGAAATATCGGAACATTTATAGTGATAAAAATCCCCATAGTTGTTAAAAGTGATGAAAATAAACAACCCCATTAAAAAGTGGGCAAAAGACATGAACAGAAGCTTTTCAAAAGAAGATAGACTAATGGCCAATAAACATGAAAAACACTCAACGTCACTAATCATCAGAGAAATGCAACTCAAAACCACAGTGAGATATCACCTAACTGCAGTGAGAATGGCTTTTATCAAAAAGTCCTAAAACAATAGATGCAGGTGTGGATGCAGAGAGAAAGGAATACTTACACACTATTTGTGGGACTGCAAATTAGTACAACCTCTATGGAAAACAATATGGAGATTCCTCAAAGAACTAAAAGTAGACCTACCATTTGATCCAGCAATCCCTGTACTGGGTATTTACCCAAAGGAAAAAAAGTCATTTTTTCAAAAAGACACTTGCACTAGAATGTTTATTGCAGCACAATTCACAATCGCAAAGATGTGGAATCAACCCAAGTGCCCATCAGTTCATGAGTGGATTAATAAAATGTCTGTGTACTTCATGGAGTACTACTCAACCATAAAAAATGGCCTTTTGAAACAATCTGGATAGAACTGGAGACCATTCTCCTATGTGAAGTATCACAAGAATGGAAAAACAAATACCACATGTACTCATTATAAATAGGAACTAACCAATCAGCACTTATGTGCACAGATGGAAGTAAAACTCAATGGAAATCATGCAGGTGGGAGGGGGGAAAAGGAGGTGGGTGAAGTCATACCTAATGGGTACAATGCACACTATCTGGGTGATGGCACACTTATAACTTTGACTCAAGCAGTACAAAAGTAATCCATGTAACCAAAACATTTGTACCCCCGTAATATCTGAAATTAAAAAAAAAAAGTGATGAAAACAAAAGGTGCTCTACCTTAAAGTATACTTCTGAAACTAAAAAAGGAGACAAATTATAGTCCTGAAAACTAAACTGTCATCTCATTCTTACAGAATTCAGGGACTAGGCATTAAGCTTCCTAAACTGTTGATTATGTATCACCAGAAGCATAAGATGCTCTAAAATAAACAGCATTTTCTAGTTTCTTCCTTAGCTATGTAGCAACTTCCACAGGATTAAGGTCATAGCATTTTATTTAGCCTTAAATGTGTTTCTGTCTCCTTGGATGTGTATTTACTCTTCTTGATGCAATAGATTTCCACCCCATTGATGCAGTAAGAATTAATTTAGCAATGCTTAGAAATTCACTAAACGCTCTGTAGGGACAAAGCCATGGCTGTTAAACATAAATAGAAAATTCAGGATTTATTAGTCTCCTTTGAGGAGTGGTACCAGCCAAGATCCAGTTGTTGTCACTATTTATATATGTTCCAGCTCGCATCATATGACCTATTCCTGCCAAGTTCACAAATTAATCTCTAGTCTTACCATCTAATTTGTGCAGCTTGCTGCCATGCCTTTTCAGCAGCAATCCTATCTCAAATCGGTCTGGGTGGGTTGGGGTCAACTTTCAGATGGAAAAGTAAGTGTCACCACCTCAAAACCAAAGAGATGAGGCTAGTGATTCAGTAAGTGGCACATTCTCTCTCTGAGTCAGATCCGTAGACCTTGAGCTGTCAACAGCAGCTACTTTTCATGTAAGTCCAGTGTTCCTATCAGTAGCCATCATTTGGGGATGCAGATGTGCCTCATAACCTGGAGAAACTGGGATTTATGAACTTGCACTTCCCAAAGGCATAATCCTTCCCACTCCTCTACCTGGGCCTTTTTCAGATTGCTGTGTTACGGCACATCTTGGGGTTCTTCTGCATTTTACCCGTGTGTGATTCCCGCAATAATTTCTAAAACATTCTAGTTTCCTCCCAGAAAGACGAGTACTCTGGATACATAAAACATTTGGTTTCTAAGAGTTATGTTAGATTGATTATTACCAGTTAGAATACGAAAGAAGACCGGTTTGTATACCATTTTTACCCAAACGTCTTCACATATTAATGGTAGGAATGCATTCAGGCTACTGATTTCTCACCGTTTGA